GCCCACCCCCACGCCCCTGGAGGGGAGTGCTCACCACTGTTGGCCCCCGTCACCACGGCCGTCTTCCCAGTGAGGTCAGTGGGGCAGCGCTGGAGGTCCCAGGGTTGAATCCTCTGCCGGGCCCTTACCCACAGACCCAGCAGGCAGGCAGAGAGGAAGAGGACAGGGCCGGGGCCCCAGACCGGGGTGCTGAACAGGACCCCCAGCGGCATAGCAGAAGCTCCAGGCCACCCAACCAGCTGTGCTTCCAAAGCAGAGTCCTCTCATCCTGGGCAAGGAGGGTACTAAAGCTAGCTGGAGCTGACCGCTGACGCTGACCGCTGACCACAGGCAGGTGAGGTCCTTAAGGAGGCACGGCCCTCGGGCTTGTTCTAGTGTTACCTTCCAGCACTGAGTGTGGGTGCTTCCTTAAATAGGATGGCCTCACCCTAGTCCAGCCTGAATCAATATTTTAAATAAATTGGTGTTTGCTCACACCCTGGTTTTTGTTGCCTTTGGCTTGCAGGGTTTTTATAAACTTTACTATAGTTTGGGTGACAGACACTCACAGAGCAAGTCAGATTCCCCTTCAACTGTTTAGACCCACTTTTCTTTGAGTTGGTGGTGCCCACTCTGCCTGGGCACTCTGACCCTGGAGACCCATGTCCAGAGGGGTGCCCTGCCAGGCCTCCTCCTGACCCTACTCAGCAAGCCCAGACCCACGCTTCGCTTCCCAGGCGCTGTGTGCCCACACACACAAAGGGTCAGGATACCCCGGAGCCCACACAGGTTCAAATCCAGCTGCCAAGGTGAAGCCCGTAATTATCTGCAGCCGACTGATGGCCACTGAGGACAGCTTGGTTTCTCAGGAGGGTAAACAAGATGAGACTGCCGGCTTCTGAAATGGGATGGAAGGTTCCCAACCCTGCTGCCTTCTGAGGCTCTCGGACCCCCGCTTAGCCTGCTGTCTGCCCTCTGAGTGGGCACGGGTCGCTCCAGCTTCTTCCAGGGAGGAGCCTTGGTCCTAGCCCAGGTCCTTGGTAAAGTGGCATTGGGGGCTCTTCCTGAAGGCAGTGCCCAGCCTTCTCTCCGGGACATCCCTGGGGTCAAGTGAGTGAGGACACGCTTGCAGGAAGCGGACAGCGACACATCATGAAGCTGAGGCCCAGGGCAGGTGTTTATTTCCAGCAGGCTGACCACGTAGGGCCGCCACAGGGCAGGTGTGGCGAAGGCAGCCAGCGCACCTTCGGGGATGCACTCTGTGCCACGGTCACCAGGGGCTTATGGGCACCCACGTGGATGGACCACTGGGGCACGGGAGGCGTGTGTGCATCATGAGCACTCCCAGGGGCCTCTGCGGAGCTGACCAGCACCTGGGAGTCCACGTCCCACAGGCTCACCCCAGGAGCTAGCTTCACAGTCTCCGGCAGCAGAAGGGGCTTGCACCTCACCTGGCTGGTGGACTCGAGGACCGTGGGCGTGGTATGAGGCCACCTGGGACATTCAGGGTCCCCGCGGTCAGTGGGATCCAGGCCACGTGGGGGCGCCCGGGCGCAGCTCCTCCACAGCTCAGCCTCTACCTCCCAGTTGCTGGGCCACTGGACACTGGGCCACAGCTTAGGGCTGGGCCTTCGGGCCAAGGCAGGGAGCTCTGGGGACGAGCTGAGGAAGCGGAGGCCTGAGCTGAGAAAAGGCAGCTTGGACCCAAAGGGTGGCGATGGACAACACAAAGAGGGGGCCCAAGGCCTGGGGCTAGGACCCCCGGTGTGGGATGGAAGGCCGGGCTGGGGATGTACAGGTGCTGCGGGCATCACTCTGGGGCCCTGCGCTCTGGCGGCCACGTGGCTGGGCTGGACAGCCCTGGCTGGGGGCCGACGGGGCTTGCGGTAAGTGTCCAGTGGGTGCCCCATGGAGCCCGGCACCAGGACCTTGACCAGTGGGCGCACCCACCTGCATGGCCGGCGTGGGGGGTCCAGGCACTGGGTCCCCACCACGGAGCTGGCCTGCTGCCTGAACAAGGTCACCTGCCCCTCTGCCGGCCTGAGCTGCTGCCCCCACGGCTGGAGCAGCACCGAGGGTCCAGGTGAGGGTGGGGTGTCCACTGAGTGGAAGGCCACCAGCGAGCTGGGGGCGTCCTGAGGGACCTCCACCCTGGGCTGGGCTGTGGCCTCAGTCCCTTCAGACTGGGGCAGACAGAAGTCGAGCTCCCAACCAGTGGGCGCTGAGGGCTGCCCTATCTCCACAGAGGCCTCCTGCAAGACCTCCAGAGAAGGGGCTCCTGGGCTGCTGGGGGGCAGAGCTTCCACTGACCCATGGCAGCTCTCACTCGAGGAGCCCACCAAGGGCAGAGTCTCCTGATCTTCTGGGGCCTCTGAAAGTCCCCCAGGCCCTGTCTTCTCAAGCTGCCCCTCCACAGACTCCCCGAGCTCTGCGTCCTCAAACGGTCCCTCCAGGGGCCCCCTGGGCCGGGTCTCCTCCAGCCACCCTGGGTTGGGCGCCGGCCCCGGACTGAGCCCTGGCTCTGTGGATAAGCGTCCACCAGGGGAAGATCCTTCCAAGCCGCTGCGTCCACTGCCACCAGGGTCCTGGGAGGATTGAGAGGCGTGGTGAGACGTGGGAGAGGGGGCGAGAAGAGCCCGGCCTCCATTCCCCACAGGGTCCTTACTTCATTTGGGAAGGTCTCCTCCGGCCCCCCAGCCGTGGGGGTGTGCAGCACAGGCACCGAGCCCTGGGCCCAGGCATCTGTGGTGCAGGCCAGGGGCTCCTCCTCCTCGCCCCACGTGGGGTCCTCAGCCAGCGAGGACTCGCCCTCGTCCCGGGCCAGGAAGCGCCATTCTGTGATCTGCAGCATGGCCTCTCGGGCCTGGCTGATGGTGAAGGGGATACACTTCCCGGGGGTGGGAGGAGATACTCAGCCCCGTGGGGACAGGGGGACAGAAGGGACAGGACAGGCTGAGGGGAGGGGCCCGCGGACCCCTGTGTAGGCTTGGCTGATGGTGAAGGGAAAGCCTCTCAGAGGGACTGGTGATGGAGGGGACAGGCCGAGGGGACGGACGGCGGGTAAGGGGGACTGGCCAGGACCCCATGCAGGCCTGGCTAACATGAAGGGTAGGCCTTTCAGGGGGGCTGGAGATGGAAAGGACAGGCCCACCTGCTGGGTCAGATAGACCCTGAAGGCAGAGTCCATGACGCGGGCCAGCAGGTCTGCCAGGATGTCCCCCACCACGTCCTCGCCCTCCTCAACGGCCGCCAGGGCCAGCCACTCGGCCTCAGTGAGGCGCCCGGGCACAATATCCACCTGGGGCACGGGCACGGTGGGCGGCCGCACCTTCTCCGCCTTGGACCTGGTCACCCCGCGGTCCCGGGCCTGTCTCTCCGGCCGCTGTGGAAGGAGACAGGGCTGTGGGGTCAGGGGCCGGGGAGCGGGAGGGGGAGGCAGGAGGCATCATGCTCCCACCACGGTCAGGTCATCCACAGTGACGCACAGGGTTCCAGAGCCACGTACCCTCACCCAGCGTGGTGGTCTTTACGGCAGCAGACCACCTCATCAGCCTGTGTGAGCGATTCAGAGTACCAACGTTCGGGGTGGAGTCCAGAATCCACCAGCGGCTCTGCAGGAGGAAGACGGGCACTCTCCTCCCGTGCGATGCCTCTGAAAGCCCACTGGTCCGCCATGGGGCAACACTGACTTTAGGGTACACAACAACAGCTCCAACAATCAATGACCTCAACAGCTTGTCAGAGGTGACAGAAAACACACCAGCAGCAGGTGATAAACCAGACAAACGAGACTGCCTAATAATTAAACCTTTACGTGACTTCTCCAAAAGAGCTTAAGAGAACCAGGAGACTCGGGAGTGGGGGGGATATTTGGCACTGAAACATCTGATGAGGGACTCACCACTAAAGCTTATTCAAAATGCCAATGTCTCAGCCCAGTTACAGAACAGGCAGAAGTTACGAAAAGATCCCACACCAAAATAAAAGAGAAAAAAAGAGATCAGACCCCACACCAAAGATGACATTTAGATGGTCAACCTCCACCTGAAGAAATGCCCAGGTCACTAGCTATCAGAGAGATGTGACTCAGAACAATGAGGTGTCACTTCAACCGCAATCACAGTAACAAAGTTGAGCAAGTCAGCAAACAACAAACGCTGGCGAGGGTGTGCAGAGATCGGAGCTCTCAGACGCTGCGGGTGGGAAGCCAAAGTGGTGCAACCACCATGGAAAGCAGCTGGAAATACAAGTGTCACCTGGTCCAAAATTCCTACTGTTGTTGTATACTGTCGAGCAGGAAAGGACCCAGAGCTGACTCCCCGGTGGGTTTTCAGAGATGGGAGACGGTATAGGAGAAGACCACCCACCCCTCTCTCACAGAGCGGGTGGTGGGCTCGAAATGCATGCCGCTGGGTTGGGAGCACGACTCCTAACCAGTGAGCTACCAGAGCTGAGAAGCCTCACGACTAGGCACGTGTCCCAAAGGAACAAGGTGTGTCTGTCTGTCTGACTCACACACACACACACACACACACACACACACACACACACACACACACTTACTTATTGTAACATTATTCACAACAGCAAAGAGCTGTCAACAAGCCCAGTGCCCATGAATGGCTGAATGGGAAAAGAAAACTCCAGTACATTCACACAATAGATGCATCTAGAAGAAACTGTGCCGAGGGCCACAAGTTGGCACAGTCAGCGTGGCATCTCTATTGTAAAAAGCTAAGGCAGGGTTGGCACACAGTCGACTCAACCATGGAGGACCCAGCAAGGTGAGAAGGGAGAGCAGAGTAAACACTAATCATCAGTAAGTTAATATGGATTGAAGCTCAACATCAAGAAAACAAAGATTCTCACCTCTGGGCCAATTGGCAGCATCATAATGGATGGTGAAGAGATTGAGATAGTTAACAGTTTTAGTTTACTTGGCTCCACAGTCAACACTCTTGGTAACAGCAGCCAGGAAATCAGGAGATGAACTGCATTGGGAAAGTCAGCTGTCAGGGACCTCTCAAGAGCAACGATGTCAGACTGGAGACTAAGGTGCACCTGATCCAGGCTACAGTCTTCACAATTACGTGCTATGTATCGGAGAGTTGGACAGTGACTAGGGATAATAGAAAGAGAATTGATGCCTTTGAGTTGTGGTGCTAGGAGAACAAACAGGTTTGTCCTAGAGAGAGTGAAGCCAGAATGCTCCTTGGAGTCAAGAATTCTGAAGCTTCGTCTGACATACTTTGGGCATGTTGCAAGGAGGGACTGGTCCTTGGAGAGGGACATCATGTTTGAGAGAGGGGAGGGACAGCACAGGAGAGGAAGACCCTCGATGAGATGAATCGATTCTGTGAGTGGAGTGGTGGGAATGAGTGTGTTTGAGATGGTGAGGTTGGCACAAGAGAGAATGGCCTTTAGGGCTCTTGTACATAGGGTCGCTATGAGTCGTAAATGACTCGATGGCACATAACAACAACAACAAAGTTAAGTGAAGGGAAAGGCAGCAAGGAGGTGATTAGAAACAGTAATTAATTGCGTTCATCAATTCTAATGTTGCTGTTGTTACATGCCCTCGAGTCACCTGCGACTCATACTGACCCCTACGTACAGCAGCTCTGAGGCCGGCCCTCTCCTGAGCCAGTCTCACTGGCTCCGACACACCTACCCCCACCGCCCCAGTCACTGAGTGAACCCATCTCATCCAGGTCTTCCTCTCCTGCGCTGTCCCTCCACACTTCCAAGCATGATGTCCCTCTCCAAGGATCACTCCCTCATGGCCACGTACCCAAAGTACGTGAGATGGAGCTCAAAATGCCTATTAATAGTTCTAGGAGAAAACTGATAGCATTTGTAAGTCTTAACTAAAAAAAAAAAAAAAGAAGAAGAAAGTAGTGGGAACAACTTTTCGTATGGAAGTTGACTCGACCACATAGCCTGACTTCCAGTCTTACACACACACACAAAATATTTGCAGCAAATATGAGATGGGGTAACTCTCCCAAACACAAGCTCATAGACAGTAAGAAAAGCAGTAAGAGCACAAACATAAACAAGCAAAGGTTCTAACATTTCATCAGGGAGACATTCCAGATGACCAAGAAGCACACACAGGCCCATGTGCCTGTCTGCTAACCATGGGTTCATGGTTCAAAGCCATCTGCCTCTCCACAGCCGGACAATGCGGCAGGGGCCTTCCACACAGATGGACAAGCTCAGAGATCTTGGGCACGTCCACAGTCTGGGAGGGTCTGCAGGTCACAATCAGCCTGAGGCCAGTGGCTTTGGGGAGGAAGCAGGTGAAAAGATGTTCAACCTTCAAAAATACTGGTTTTACAAAAAGTGGATGTTTAGGGAGCTCTGGTGACCTACTGGCAAGAAGCTGCACTGCAATCCCAGATTCTAATCCACCAGATGCTCTGCTGGAGAAGAAGGGCAATCTCCTCCTGTACCAGTCAGATCCAATTGGATGGTACACACACAAATTATAAAATAAATTTTTTTTTAAAAAAGTGGAAGTTAGAGGTTCTGATTTTTCATTCACAAATGTTAGTTAAGAATACTCAGTGGTGGCAAGGATTCAGTAAAAACAATGTGACATCCTGCTGGAGGAAATGTTAATGGTAAGAACATTCTTGGAAAGCCATCACCAGAGCGTTAGAAGTATTTTCACGCCTGGTCTTAAAAATATATCCTCCAGTAATATGTACCCTCCCCTGCAGTGTTGCCTGCAGGATAAAGAAACATGCAGGTACCCCAACAAGGGAAGCCTGGTTGCCCAGCAGGAGCGTCAACACATGTCCTGGACCAATTTTAGCCAGAACACTTCTCAGAAGGCTCTCTGGAGGGGCCATCCCCTGTAGAAATACATGATGTTCGGCAATGACGGTCAGCGACAGAGAGGACTTCCCAGTGGACAGACAGTGGCAGCAACCATGGGCTCGAACTCACAAGGTGCAGGTGGAGGGGGCAGGCTGTAGCTGCGCACACGGTGGCTGAGCTGGGATTGACAGCGTTTATTTACGAACAGACACGGAGGGTCAACTGAGCTGTATCTACATGATAGAATGCTGTGCTGTTAAAGCTGGGGTACAGATCACAGAGTGTTTGCCCTCAGACGTGGGAAGCTGTGCACTGCACCTGCACAGCCAGTGTTCTCTGCGCCTGTTCGGGAGTGCAGTGCAGTGAGCACACGGCGAATCACAACTGACTGCGACAACAGGACTGAATCCACAGGTGATATCCTCCAGGACACCCCCAGGTGATGATGACTTCCAGGACACACGGATCTACTAGGAACTGCAACACCGTGGATGGTACCGTCGTTTTGTTGACAATTCACTTCACTCCATCGTGACCATGTATACTCCGCATAAAACAAAAAAGACTTACCCAAGGGTCGCTCTACTCCAGGGTCACATGGCCTCTACCAGCAGTCTCCAGAGTGTCACACCTGCCCACATCAGTCTGCAGACACCTGTTTCCTTCCTAACATGAACTTCACACATGATGTTTCCAAACTTCACCACCTTCCTCACCCGTCTCCACCTTGCTGCTTGCTTCACAACTGGTGTCCCACAAAATCCACTCTCTTCCAGACCGGGAGTTTCCCATCTCACCTGAAACTTCAAAACCCTGTAACCCTCATTCCCAGGGGCAGCCTGCCTCCCCTCCAATGTGGGTCAAGCCCACAGGGACAGCATCATTGTCAATTCTGGTGAGTAGCAAGCAGCTTGGCCAGGCATGGTGGGGGCAGGGATGGTGGACATCTCTCCTCTTGACCTCTCATCTGGCATCTGTGCTTAGAGCTGGCCTGACCAGTGGGGCCAGAGAACTCTTGCACAAAAAGCTCTAAATCTTTCTGGCGCTATCTGCAGATGACATGATAGTGTACACAGAAAACCCAAGGTCTCCACAAAAAACCTGTGAGAGCTAGAAGACCAATTCAGTAGGGTGGCAGAATACAAGATCAACATACAAAAGTCAGTGGGATTCCTCTATAGTAACAAAGAACTCAGAGAAGAAAACCAAGAAAACAATGCCATTTACAACAGCTAACCACAAATTGAGATACTTGGAAGTGAACACAAAGGACCTGTACAAAGAAAACTATAGAACATTTCTGTAAGACACAATAAAAGACCTAAATAAATGGGTGAATATTCCCTACTCATGGACAGGAAGACTCAGTATAGTGAAAAATGACAATCCTATCAAAAGCAATCTACATGTTCAATGCAATCTCAATCCAGACACCAAATTCATTTTTCAAAGAGATAGAAAAAGCAATTGGCAGGGAGCAGTGGTGGCCTAGTGGCAAGGAAGCTGCGCTGCAATCCAAAAGGTGTGTGGTTCGAATCCACCAGATGCTCTGCTAGAGAAGGAGGGGCAATCTCCTCCTGTGCCAGTCAGATACAATTTGACGGGACACAATAAGAAAAGAAAAAGAATAATTAAAAAGAGAAAAAGCAATTGGCAAATTTATTTGGAGAGGAAGAGACCTTGAATAAGCAAAGGACTTCTGAAAAAACCCAAAACCAAGAATGAAGTAAGAAGCACAGCATTCCCTGACCTCAAAACCTACTACAGACACCAAATGCTCTGCTGCAGAAGGAGGGACAATATCCTCCTGTACCAGTCAGATCCAATTTGATGGAACACACACACAAAATAATAAAAATTTTAAAAAAATAGATCAACCGCTTTTTTAAAATTTATTTTTTTAGTGTGTATGTGTGTGTGTGTGTATTGTCAAATCAGATTTGACTGGTACAGGAGGAGATTGTTCCTCCTTCTCCAGCAAAGCATCTGGTGGATTTGAACCACTCACCTCTCGGATTGCAGTGCAGCTTCTTGCCACTAGGCCACCAGTGCTAGCTAATCAACCACTTTAAAAAACAAACACAAAACATAACACCCTACTCCACAGATATAATAACCAAAACAGCATGGTACTGGTATAATGACAGGCACACAGACCAATGGAAGAGAACTGAGAACCCAGAAACAGACTTAGCTATCTATGGTCAACTGATATTTGACAAGGAAACAAAACCTATCAAATGCGGAAACCACAACCTCTTCAATAAATGGTGTTGGGAAAACTGGACCTGCAGAAAGCTGAAGCAGATACACATCTCACACCACACACACAGATCAACCCAAAGTGGATCACAGGACTGGAGGTAATGCACAAAACCATGAAGTTCATAAGAGACAAAATGAAATCAAGCTTAAAAGGCCTAGCCTATGGTGTCTGGAGAAGATAAAATTGATGAATGGGGCCTTCTAAAGATTAAATCCCTGTGTAAAAAAAAGAATTCCAACAGGGTGAAAAGAAAACCCACCAGCTGCGAAAAAAACATTTAGCAATACTATCTCAGATAAGGTTGTCCTAACAAA